GGCATCTAATATGGTAGCACTACTTTGGTGGGTGTTCTGAATCTGATTAAGCAGTATGGTAAATGTGGGTATTGAATTTTTATTGAAGATGATTCTCTATCACTTGTTAATTATGTCTTAAGGAAGAGTGGATGTGCTTGGCATTATCTAAGGTTGCTGGATCAGATTTGGACTTGTTGCAGAATATGGATTTTCATCTGATGCATATTTTTAGATAGGCCAATGGTGAAGGAGACAGGCTGTTTTTGGTTGTGTTTCTGTTAGGCGTTTTTGCCTTGGTTTTGCTTATTGTAAAATTCGGTTTTTTTGTAAATAAATAAAATTAAAAAAAAATGGCAGCACTAGTCTTTACGGACATTACTCCAACGGTAATAAGATGGGAAGTTGGTTTGGGCAGAATNAAAAATGGCAGCACTAGTCTTTACGGACATTACTCCAACGGTAATAAGATGGGAAGTTGGTTTGGGCAGAATGACCAATTACTAGTGGGCCCCATATAAATAGTAGATTGAAAAATTAATTTTATACATTATAATGATATCATGAAGTTATAACAGCATACACTAATGGAGAATGGTGGTAGGGGTTATGTGTTACACGCGCACAAACTTAGGGGGTCTAGGTATAATATGTCAAATCTCAAGGGTCTAGGTGACTAAGTGACAAACCTCAGGGGGGTCTCAGTATAATTTATCATTTTTTTCTTTTCAAAATTTGTTTTCATGGTTTTGGCTTGTAAAAGTGTAAATCTTTGTATTTTTATATTTTTTCTATATTGGATTATGTTATGTTACATTATGTTGTGTTGCATGATAATTTGTTGGATTTACAAGGGAGACAAACTTTTAATTATATTATGTTGTAGACAAGGCTTTAATTATATTATATTGTAAATGACAAATTTTTAATTATATTATGATATTCTATAATTATGTTGGATTATTTAAAATGTTAGATTTATTTAAAATTTTGGATTATGTTGGTTTGGGTTTTGGCTTGGGCTTGGGCAGGTAAGGTAGACGGGGGTGGGGGCGGCAGTGAAGGCTGGGGACGAGACGGGGGCAGAGATTAAAAATTTACCCGCAGACAGGAATGAAGATGAATATTATACTCGTTAACAGGAATATATCAAGAATGAACAGAGTTTTTTTAAGTGGATACGGGGATGGATGGAGTTTTTTTAAGTGGGTACGGGAATGGAGACTACACCCCACGCCCCCGCTTCGGTCCATTGTCATCCCTAGCAGTGAGCGCTTCTCTCCTCCTCCAGACCAATGGCGGGTGTGAGTGGAAAAGTGGAAAAGAGTAGTAGATTAGGGTTATTTTTTTTTTTTTTTGGCTTTTATATATTTTGATAAATGGGTTAGGTCGGGTTTGAGTCCAAATTATTTCAACCTAGTTAAAATATATAAATTAATCGGGCTAAAATTAGATTGACTTGATTTCGACATGAACCCGACATACTTTTTTTAGTGTTTAAGCATGTTGATCCATTTAATTTTGTGTTCAACTCATTAATTTCATGTTCGATTCGTGTCGTATTAACGTGTGGTGTCGAAAATTGACAATATTATTTGGAGCATACCTTTGAGCTGGACTTGTTTTTCAAATGCACAAATTATATGAAAAAGACTTGAAGTTTACATCTATGCTCAACAGTCTGCTAATATGAGATTGTTGTCCTAAAATGACAAGTATGATGGTGAATGATTCAGGTTTCTTAACAAACTAGTGGTGAAGACATGCACTAGATCGTGCATTTTAACTAGTTTCAATCGTTTTGTGAAATCTTATTTTTGTAGGATACCATTTAATTGTCATTTCGGATTGATGTTTGGGCATCAGGGCGAGCCTTTGTTTGTGTGTTGATAACAATTTTTTTTAGCTTTGTCTGCTTCTCAATGTTTACCTGGTTTTATAAGAATATAGCACAGCTGGTGATGTTTTTATGAACCATCACTTCACAGTTATTATTGAGGAGTATTTTGTATCCAAGTCATTTGTTTGCTTCTATGCTTGCATGAGAATACACATTAATCAAAGGTTTTCTTCTTCTTCTACTACTACTAGTACTTTTTTTTTTTTTGTGCAACGAGGAAAAGTTAATATTCACTCTAGTTCCCCAATACTTGAGGAACGCGTTAAACCTGACTTTTTTATTTGTTGTAAGGAAAAAAAATAGCTCTCATGCTCTTGTGTGGTACACAGCGAGTGACCTGATGTATGTTGATGAGCCCAAATCTAATTGAACGACGCCGAATAAGAATTAGAGCACGTGGAGAGTAATTATCAGGATACTCACTCTCGAAGATTAAGACACCTTTTAATCGTTCTTACTTTTTATAGTTATCCTCCCGAAGAATTAGTGTCTTCCTCCTCAAGTCACCGTCTCAACTCAACTAAACTAAGGCTCTATACGTATAATTGTAAACTCTCTCTATTGAGAAGAGCATTTCTATACCTCTCTATACACATCACACATAACTTTTTTCTCTCCTAGCTATTGTATCTCTCATGGGACTAATTATTACTCTCTCTTGTTCACCTTACCTAATCAATAAAAGATTCATCGGCTACCGTTGCCATTTCCCGGAGTGGAGTAAGTCACTCGAACCGAATTACTATATATCTAAGTGTTGACCCAATATTTACATTATTGTCATTGATTGCTCAATTAATTGTCCATTAATTATATTTTATCGCACACTCGACTGTTGATCTTGTATAAGACTGTTTTGTGTATCATCATATATGTGACGTGTAGTTCATCTTGACATTCTATTTTCCTCTACCTGCCTCTGTATTCATGTCGTTTTTTTAATTTTATTTTTTATGTTTGCATGTGCTGTGGATGAGCTGCCATCTGAACCTGAATAATTGTTAGGAAGGGGTACGAAGGCTGCTACCCGTGCACACGAGTACACACTCTACATTTGAGAATCGAATTACGTTATTTGTTTGTACCTACTGCCATGCCAAAATCCAGCCATACCTGAACATCATAATGGTTGATTCAGAAAAATAGCAATGTTTAATCTATTAACTGTGCCAGAAACATGTCATTATAGCAACACTGATGGGCTAGTATTTTGGTATACATATGAAAATTCTAGGTAAGGTAATAGAGCATACCGCTCATATCCAGAACTCTTCCAAATGGCCAATACATATCTACCTACGGTAGGACCCAAGTTAGGAGAGTTAGGTTTCCTCAATTTGTAGGATAGGATTATTATGTTATCTTGTTTAGTTGGCCATTACCCTTGCATCTCATCATTCACCTGGTCTCATTTCCTTCCCTTACATCATAAAGGAAAGGGATTTTGAATAGGTTAGACAATGTTGGCCTGAAAAAAAAGGACCTTTACCTAACCTCTGCTCCACTTGTAATTAGTTAGAATAAGTCAAAATGTTCAGGTTACTTATAAAACATTATTAGAGAAGATATTCATAAGGGTAGATTAGACTAATTTAATATAATGCTGCCACGATATGAATTATGATCCTACGAAGTCTAACTTCATTTATTATTAGAATAATCGTAGGATCTAAGTCTATGATATTTTTGGATTTCTTTGTTAAGTTTATTTAAAGCATCATAGTTTAAGTCTATTAAAGGTTTCTTTGTATCTACTGGTATGTCTCTATAGCGATGTTGCTGACACTTTTCTTGAGATTAGATGACTTAATACCATGGTATGAAAGAAGTGGAGTACCCCTCCTCCCCTTCCTCTCCCAAAACACCTATCTTGGATTAACTCAAACAAGAGAGGGCATACTAGGAAAACTGGTAACACTTGAGATTCTCACCTGTACATCTAAGAAAAGTACCAACCCCATACATCCCTAGTGCTGCTGTGGAGTGTTTTGTTTGTTGCTATTTATATATTTTGGTGAATTTTTTCCACCGTCACTAAAATGGCAATATTATGTTACTTCTGGGAAAAGTATTGCGAGATTTGTGGAATAATTTAATTGTATCATTTTTTTTCTTCATTGAGCCGAGTCATACTACTTGCATACAGATTTTACCATGCAGTTTTGTTGAAAATTCAAATTCGTTTTAATGTTAAAATAAATCTTTTCTAGTAGTGAAATTGCTTTTGCCTACTGATCCCTAGAGAAGGCCTTGTTACTGTGTGATAAAAAGTAGTTATGATGTTACTTTAATTTTAAAAGTCATAGTTAGGTGTGGAACATAGGCTATAGGATGAAAATAGCAGATGTGGACATTCTTAGAAATTCAGGGGGTGATTATACGTTGAGTTTAAGTTGCCCATACTATATGCCATTTGTCCTTCTTAGTTCCACAATCCAACTAATCCTTGCATAATTCATGCAGGTTAAAGAGAGTACAGCAGCTAGTGAGGTAGGCATAAAGAACTCATTGAATAAAAATAAGCAAAAGATGGGCCCTTCCTCCCCCTTTTCCTATGTACCTCTACTTTTCTCTCTGAAGTAATTTTTGTCAAAAAAAATGGAATCTTCCTTACTATGAGCAAAGAATATTATATATAATGAAGTTTATAAAATAAGTTTTTGAGCTTCCTTGGGCAGGCAAAGGGTTGTTGTACCTATAGGGGTATAGGAAGGATCACAAGCACTTAACTTTAATCCACATGGTTATGTGCCAAGGTCCGATAACAGTACGTCATAACTCAAACTTGTAACTTTTAGGTAATGATAAAAAAAAACTTTTCCATTGCACCCTCTACTATTCTGCCATCCAACAGATCGAAAATTAGAACTCTGTCCTAACTTCATCATACTTCAATTCCAGCCTTCAGTAAGTGTCCGATGACAATATATCATACATCAGCTTCGTGGATCGGCGATAAATTATAAAATCCTGAGTTTCGATCTGAAACAAAACATATAACAACCTTCAACAGCTTAGTTTATAGAGGAAAACAACCCTCAAAATTCTGGAATTGAATTTCCTTATGGATAATAAGTGAGAGAAGAAACTACATACATGCACCATTATACTGATGAAAAAGCACGCAAGCAAATAGAAAATGAAAAATATTTCTCCTGCCCTTTTGTACTTGAACCTAAAAATGAAGAACAAGAAAAAGCTCATTCCTTAGAGAGGAGGGACCAAAATCTGCCAGACCTTGATATCACTGTCCAAACTTGAACTGTAGAGGACATATGAAGATGTTGTATCAGGTTGATTGCAATGATCACTTGCCATGGTCAAGCATTTGACCGGGCTTTTGTGCCCTTTCAATACTGCCAAGCAAGAGTAGGATCTCTCAATCCCTCTCCAAATTCTTACTGTTTTATCAGCTGAACCGCTGCACACTAAATCTGACACCACAGCCAAGCACAATATGGACTTGGCATGCCCTCTAAGTGCACCAACAGCCACCATACTGCCACTGTCATCCTTCTCCCAAACCAGTATCGATCTGTCACATGCACCAGAGTACAACACAGATGCATCAGTGCTTAGTGCTAGTGCATTGATCCCAGAATTATGTTTCTCAAGTGTAGCAACTAGAGAATGTTTCTTCTCTCCTGAGCTTTTCCTCCATACCTTGATTTTCTTGTCAGCTGATCCTGTATAAACAAGTCCATCATCAGATAATGCTATCGCGTTTATTGCATCATCATGTGCATTACCTACTGACTCCAAACATTTGAAGTTAGTTGTCTGCCAAATTTTGAGTGTCCTATCCCATGAAACGGAGTAGAGGAGGGACTCATCACTTGACAAGGCGAGTGCTGATACGGCGTCCACGTGATGGACCCATGTGCATTTCTTGTGGCGTCGAACCTGAACATGGTTGTTAGGTGTTAAAAGTTTAAAGGCGCGGTCACTAAGTGTTGGAAGTGTAGCCAAGTGCGTGAACTTCTGGTGATGGTTCTCACTGTTATCTGTTTTCCAGACTCGGATTTTGTGATCTTGATGAGCGCTGATAATTTTATCAGCTAAAACTACTAGGGACTTCACTGCTCCCTTTCCTGCAATCACTATCTTGTCAGTTAGATTGTCCTGATTGAGTTGGGAGTTCATTGTGTTGCGCTTCCACAATCGGATTTCTCTGTCAGAAGAGCCAGTGTATAGGTACTTTCCGTCAAGGGTAAGAGAGGATATGTAGGCGTTGTGGCCTTTTAGGGTAGCAATGCAGTGGTGGTTGGTAGTTGGAAGGTGCTGCTGTTGGTGATCGGTTTGTGACGTGAGAGAAGGAATTGATGAAAGGCTTGGCTGGGAATATAGGGTGGTCGACTCTGGGTGAAGGTGGCCTGAGTGAGATGGATAATCATCGCTTGAGAAAGACGTTAGATGGTGTAGCATTGTTCCCATGAGAGAGAGAGAGAGAGAGAGAGAGAGAGTATGGTGAAGAAAGCGAACTGAGCTTGATATATAAATAAAGAGTAGGAGCATCAAGATCAGATTGAGGTTAGCGTTTAAGAGAAGGCCTTGATGGTACTTTAGCCAAAAGATGAGCCAATAGACACAACATAGACTATTCAATATGTCAAGCAAGGATGGCCAGTTATCCTTTCAAATTGATGGAAGGGTCATGTGACTTGTTTTGGTTCATTATAAATCGTATACATGAGACTCTCTCTCTCTCTCTCTCTCTCTCTCTCTCTCTCACACACACACAATATCAGATGCTTCTCACATAGAATATGGCAGCAATCACTTTATCTTTTACATTGTTTTTCCATCTACCTTCTTCCGGGTTGGAAGGTTTTGTCCACATCAATGTGCTTAGCAGTTTAGGCCACCCTGTACGGAAATGGGTCCTTCCACTAAAAACAAAACCCCGTGGCTATGGCCCGTCAACAGATGGAATTTCATCCGATCCGATTTCGAATTCAATTTTAAAACTTCGCACCGAATATACAAATTAATTCTATTTTCACTGCCAATATTTGAATCCATAAAAGTCCAAAAATTCAATCTGATCCAATTAACTCTTAGAAGCTAAATGTTTACAAATTAAATCAGAATTTCTACTCAATTCATCATAGTTTAAATTATGATAAATATAATTTGGACTGCATCATAAGTGGTTTGGGTATTCTTTGAATCCCTTCTGCAACCTTCAAAAATCATATAGACAAAATCATAACTTCGTATTTGACAAATCAGATTATGAACAAAATCCAGTTGATTAATAGACCTACCTCCTAGACACATAATATACTAGGACTCAGATTCCTTCCGTTAGCTCTTTCCTTCAATTTTCCTCAGTACAGTCTTGATGAATGGCATGCGTAGGATTTTGAATTTCAATAAACAAGGATTTTTCCTTCTGAAAATTTTTTTTAATAATAGTTAACACTTCACCAACAACAAAATAAATAAAGAAATATCTTGCTCATCAGAATTCAAAATCTTACACATGTCGCTCATGTAGTATCATATTGAGGAAAATTAAAGGAAATGAGTAATAGAGGGGATCTAAACCCAATATACTGCAGTGGTTGTATGGTGGGAACATTGTGTTGAATTATTTAGCCATCCATAGCCTTATATTAATTTGTACAAGTTAGATGGTTACTAGTGTATGGTGCAGATTTCTTTCTCCATCAAGGGAAAATGTTTGCCCCCCCCCCAAAAAAAAAAAAAAGGAAGAACAGAGGGGAAATTCTACGGTACCCAAAAAAAAAATTTGGAATTGATATTGTCGATTACTAATTTATATGGTAAAATTATAATTTTAAAAATAAAAGTTAAAACTACTCAAGAGAGATCATGATCATGAAAAATGTGATATCTCTTCTAACATTTCATGATTGATTATATTCTTTAAAATTATAACTTACGCTTTAAAAAAATTATAATTTAATTTTAAAAAATTATAATTTTTAATATTGATACCGCCCGCGGAATTGTAGAAACTCTCAGACCATAGGATGAAATTTTAGGGTCTAATCAATTGATGGATACTAGTTGGGTTTATGGATAAAGGTGGGTGCCCAAAAAAACAAGTGATGGGACAGAGAGGGAGGACTGATAAATGGAAAGCCAAAGGATACCAATGTTCACCATTATGATTTAACTGCGATAGGGGAGAATGACAAAAGCTTTGTTAAGTGATGAGTCCTTACTCCTTTGCTGGTGCCAGTAGTGGGCGACAATCCAATTCTGGCTTCTCTCTCAGTGTGTTTTGCACTAGTTTTTTGGACATGATCCAAGTTTTCCGGTTCATGTTGGGTCTTCTCAATTATTGCCCGTTTAAGCATCCCGAAAAACTCGTATAGTAAAAGGGATATACAATCTATGATGTGTAGAAACATGTTTGTAGAATTTAATTATTTTACGTGCGTGTACGTATGTGAAGTGTATATACATTAATAGTTGGGAAAACAGTTGGTTTCTTTGATGTCTTTCACATTTGGTGTCTCCTATAACTGTTCAAAATCAACTAAACAATAAAGGGTGTAGGCGTAGGAGGAGATTCTTTGAAATTTGCTCATCGTGGTGTAGATGGAATCATTCAAAACAAAATAATCTTTAGACTTTAGCTTGTGTTTAACTTATTTCAAAACTTTGAGGTCATCTCCATCCAACATGTACATTGACTTCTGGGTAAGCTCGTTTTTTTTCCGATTAAATATCTTAGCGAGTTATTATTATTTTTTGAAAATGATATTAAAAAATTATATTTCGTTGTCATACTTTCTCTTTTTGTGTAATGGAATGGCAAGATATGTAAAATTTATTCCGGAAGGTATGATATATAAACCTAAATTATGTGGACCAACTAGACTAATAATGTATTGATATTTGGGACCCACGGAGTAGTCATAATTACCTGAAGCTTTTATATTTAGTGTCCCTTTTCATTCTCTCAAATAGTGTCCCCCCACTTTCTCTATCCCTTCTTTAATGTCGTTCTGCAATTTTTCGAGAACATATTTTAATTTTTACTGTTTTAAATAATGATTTTTTGTATTTTCCTTTCGTTTATTCTGGTTTATTCCCTTCTTTCAACTTCAATTGCGTCTCTAGTAATATAAATACACACTTATAGACCCTCATTAATGAAATTACAAATTCGCTAACTGCCCCGCTTATGTATGTCTTTTACTCATAAATTAAGATTCTGTTGTATAACCTTTAGTACAGGACATACTCATCAAAAATAGTAAATGGTAGTGAACCTTTTCTGGCAGCTGAGGCAGTCCTGTCCTTTTAGACCCCATAGATCCCTCCTGAGGCATGTGTACTCTCAAATAGAGTCCCCCATGTTGCCCTTTGCCTTTTTATTAAACTTTTCTGGCTGCCGAGCATAGTCCTTTTAGTGTTGTTTTAATAGTACACAATCTAATCTAAAAGTTTAAACTATTGAGAAAGTATCACATAGAACTCCATGTGCTCCCCCTTATGTGAGGCTCTTTTCGGGTGATATGTCCACGTGATTGTTTTGCGATGTGTAATAAGAGAAGATCGTTTATTGTAATTTGTCAAGTTATTACATCAAATAATCGAAAAAACTTAAATTATTAAAGACGAGTATAGTATCATTATTTATTTGATACTTTGATTCCCCGTAGATCCCTCCTGAAGCATGTGTACTCTCAGATAGTGTCCCCCATATTGTTCTTTGCCTTTTTAACTTTAACTTTTCTGGCAGCCGAGCCCCAGTCCTTTGAGAGTCCTTTTACCCCCCATAGATCCCTCCTTTGTGTTTCGTCCAGTACAATGAAAAAGTGAGAGGATGAAAAATTGGAAGGACGAAAAATTGAAGGATAAAAAAAATATCATGTTTTATAAAGAAAGAAAGTAGGAAGAATGAAAAAATTGATGGATTAACTTTCCTTTCAACTCACCAAAATTAATCTCTCCAAAATCAAAAGAAAAGTGGATGAAAAGTTAATTATTAGTGTTGGGATGTATCTTATTTTTTTATATATTTTATGTATACTTTAATTTCATATAAAAATACAATAATAAAATATGTATATATATTTTGAAAAAATTTTAAAATAAATTTTAAGAAAAATTAAAAATAATAAAAATAATAAATAATTTAAATTAAAAAAATATATATTTTTTCCATCTTAACTAAGGGTGAAAATTTTAAACTCAACACGATGACACAACTCGAACTCGATACGAAAATAAATAGGTCAACTCGCAACTCGATACGATACAATTAGTTAAATGAGTTAAGTTAGGTTTGACTAATATTCGACACAAATTCGTAATGACTTAACACGAACCTAACACGACATGACTCAACTCAATTGTCACTCATAATCTTAGCCAGCAGAAAAAAAAAATTAAAAAAAAAATAATTATTTTTATTTTCCATCCATCCAACCAAACAAAAAGGAAGGAAAACGTATCTTTCCTATTTTTCATCCTTGAATGATAGAAAATGTATTCTTCATACTTTTCATCCTTCCTACTTTTCATCCACCTACCAAACGGAGCATGAGTGTGACTTGATCCATTGACCCCAAAGATGCTAGAGTTCAGTTGGGTNTCTTTCCTATTTTTCATCCTTGAATGATAAAAAATGTATTCTTCATACTTTTCATCCTTCCTACTTTGCATCCACCTACCAAACGGAGCATGAGTGTGACTTGATCCATTGACCCCAAAGATGCTAGAGTTCAGTTGGGTTCTAAGATAAATTATGCATTCAAATCCCTAAAAAAAATGGAAAAAGGAAAAACGATTATTTGTTTATGCTCATGAAGAATGTCCTAACAACATATCTTCTAAATTATGACTGTGGCATAAATTCTGTATGCGCGAGTTTTATTATATTATTATTATATTGTCTTAATAGGAATTGTTAGAGGGTCACCAATATGCAAATAGTAGAAGACAAGAGTATTAGTGGGTATTAATTGGCTAAGTAATGGGAATGATGGTGTATGTATATTTTAGGGGTTACAAGAATTAGTAGAGGTAGTAGTGCGTTAATGTAATGTTAGGAGTTATGTGTATCACCATGGGTAGAGCCACATGGGGATCAGGGTGGACACTTGCCCCCCCCCCCCCAACTTTTGGACCACCTTTTATACATTATATTTGCCACCTTAAATTTTGGAAATTTTAATAATTATTTTAGTTTTTTCTTTTTTCAATTAATTAGTTGTCCACACTAACCCTCTAAAATAAATGTGTTAGTTTTGGATTGAGTCAATCATGTGTAACTATCTTGATCTATTTGTATATTGGCGAAAATGTAATATTTCTTTTTATTTAACATAATGTTCGCCACTTTTTAAAAATAATTTTTAGTTTTTATTTACCATTTTTTTAGTAATAGTAGTATATAACCTAATAAAATACGATTGTATACAAAAAATAAAAAGTTGTAACCCAAAAAT